CCCTAAACCCTAAACCAAAAGAACCCCGCCCAGGGGCGAAGGCACCGGAGTTCGGCCTCCAAAACCTGATCATCATGGATATCGTGGCCTTCGATGCATCAGGCGTCGAGGGTTTAGGTTTTAGGGTTTANNGGGTTTAGGGTTTAGGGAGGTTTTAGGGCTTCGGGTTTAGGGTTTAGGATTATTCTCCGCTTTAGGGCTGAGGCTTTCGGGTATTCGGTTTAGGCGGCAGGATTGAGGATTTAGGGTTTACGGGATTTTTTGGCATGCTGTCTTTGAGTATGCATGGACCCGGCCACTGATTAGGCATGAACATTGACCCTAAAGCCTGAAACTTGAACCCTGAACCGCTTGTGGAACCCGAGTGGAACCCGTGCAGAACCCACAGAGGAACCCTTAAAGTAATCCTTAAAGCGCATACCCTGAAGCCAAAGTACCCGGTATCTTAAGATGACAAGCCCTGAACCCCTAAATCCTAAATCCCTAAATCCCTATACCCCCTTAAGCCCCAAACCCTAAACCCCTAATCCCTAAACCCTAACCCGGCAGGGAACCAATTGCGGATCATGGAGCTCCACATCTTCGCGGACAAGAATGGCGCAGATGCCGTTGCTCCGGGAACCTACACAGGCCGCAGGGCAGCTTAGGGTTTTGGTTTTAGGGTTAGGGTTTAGGGTTTAGGGTTTTGGGGTTTAGGGTTTAGGGTTTAGGGTTCTAAAAGTCGTAGAGAAGCCGAGCGCTCGATCTGCGACTGGAGGTGATGATGGCTGCCGTGATTCTGGGAAGGATGCTGTTGTTGTTTGCTGTGAGGAAGAGAACTTCTGCTACTTCGCCCTCTACTAGCAGCTACTGGCAACTACTACTGTACTACACCACGACGCTTACTATTACGGCTCCTGGTGCTGCTACCGCGACTGCTGCTGCTACAGCCACTGCTAGACTACGACTACCTACGATGAGGAGGACGACGACGACTCGACTGGGACTGTGACTTGCGGTTGTGGCTGCGGCTGGTGATATTGCTGATGCTTACGCCGTTGCTACTGCCACACGTACTGCTACATTCGTTGTCATTAGCCCTGCTAGGATGATTCTGCGCCTTCTGATTCTTTCTGCTGGTTCTCTCTCGCTCTCTGTCTCTCTCTCTCTCTCTCGCTCCATCTCTCGCTCGCTCGCGCTCAACCCTAAACCCTAAACCCTAAACCCTCAACCCTAAACCCTAAACCCTAAACCCTAAACCCAAATCCCTACTCTATCTCGCTGGGGATCTCTGGGTCTTGTTCCTTTCTCGGTCTCTATCTCGCTCTGTCTTCCTCGCGCCAACACCACTGATTGCAAAGATTCCGACATGGTGCTTATACTCTACTCTGCTGTATTCTACTTCACCAAACTCTATAGACTATACCATGCTAGACTATATTCTACTTTATTCGCCATACTCTATAAACTATACCATAAAAGATTATATTCTACTTTAGTAAACGATACCATACTCTACTATACGATGCTATACTCTACTACTCTCTACTATACTCCACTATACTAGGCTACGCTACACTATACTGTTCCGAGGCGGCATGGCAATGGAGGCCCTTACCGACGGCTCCCACACCACTTTGGGAGATGGCGGCTGGGCCACTCCGATGGCAACACAAAAGAGGGGCCTCCAATAGCTAGCAATGTTTTGCGGGGTATTCTATACTATACTATATTATACCGAAGGAAAAATGGCGGAGCTATAGCCAGAAAAGAGGGGCCTCAATGGTTAGAAGTGTTTTTGGGGTATTCTTGTATGATGAGGGAGCTGTAGCCATAGCTGTAAGTAACATGGTGGCCATAATAACTACCAAGACAATTCTAGGGTTCCTTATGAGTATATACCTCAAAGCCCTCTTCTGCTTATCAGGCCCTCTGCATTGCGCTTTGGCCTTAGCCATCGGAGCATGGCTCCCAGCAGCAAGGGTGTTGCCGATCAGCAGAGCTCTGCCGTCGTAGGAAGGAAAGGAGAAGCTATAAGAGCAGCACTGGTCGTAGCAGCAGCAACAACAACAAGCACCACGACTTCGACGGCGACAACGAGAGCGGGCAACAGAAGCAGCGTCGACAGCGACAACAGGAACAATCATGCGCGTCACGCAATTCAACACATACTAAGTGAATTCTTGAATGTGCAGATGTACAGTACTCCTAAAGCTCCGATGCCATGTTCCACATATGTAAGCATTGCAGACCAGACGCAAATCACGCAGCGCGCTTGGGTCGAAGAAACAGCTGTTATCCAAGTTTGGTAGCGGAGCTTGCTCCTGCGCCATAGGCTACCGAAGGATCTTCGGATCCTTGGGCCTCCCCGGGAGGCAGCTGCACTTCGACGCCCGCACCACGACCGTGCTCTACGTCTTCGTGACCACTTGGCTGTTCTTGAAGAACACGGGCATCCACCTGCCCAACAGCCACGGAAATTCGAGCAGCTGCCTGGAGTGCTGCAATTTCTCCACTGGCCTCGGCCAGGAAGTTTTCCCTTTCAAGGTTGTAGGCTACGAGAAGTTCGACGAGAAGTTCCTGAGCGGCAAGGCCCTCCTCTTCTACCTGCACCCCGACGGGCCCCTCACCTACCTTCTCATCGGCTACCAGAACGAGAACTTTCAGGACGGACTACGAGATCGAAGGAAGCCAAGCAGAAATGGCCGGGAGCAGGAGGCATTCCCTTGCACGAGTTCAAAAAGGACGTTCCGCCTGGCTGGGCTCCCAACATCAGCGACTACCCTCTTCGCTTGTATTTCGAGCCTTTGAAGCTTTGGTACAGGATCTACGAGGGCGATGACACCATGGTGGGCCCACTTGTGGCGGGCAGGCTGCAAGGGAAGGCCCAGAGATTGGGCATGCAGCTCAGGCTGCCGAGACCAGACGGAGGCGTCGACGTCGGAAGCGACGCCTTAGTGCGTCTCAGCGTCGACGAAGTTCGCGACCCACAGAACCAGGGCGTCATCTTGCAACACTCCATCCCCAGCGGGATACAAGCCTTATGCAACAGCCTCAAGGATGCCTTCGGAGTGAGCGACCAAGAGGTTGTGTCCCAGAGCATAGAAGCTTTCTTCGAATTCCGACGAGGCAAGATGAGCTTTCAGGAGTACGCGATCGAGTTCGACATCCGCCTGGAAGAAGCAGTCACCCGGGCGGGCTTGGACTTGAACGACGTGGCCAAGTTCTACTTGTTCTTCCGGGGCAGCGGCTTACCGTACAAGTTCATCGAGGACATCAAGCTGCAGCTCCAGGGAGATCTTCGTCGGTACCAGGAGGCCAGAGTGCTGGCGCTGAGGTTGATTACCAAGAAAGACGATTCAGGTGAGACTTTCTTCGAGGACACCGAGAACAACCTCCCCGCGGAAGATGGCTGGGACAACCGCTCTTGGACCGAGGATAGCTGGTCCTGGGTGGAAGATGCAAGCCCGGGCCATCAAGCTAAGTACTGGTTGGACCAGGACTTCTACGAGCCCTACTACGACGGCGCCTACTATGACGAAAGCTATGATGACTGGTATGAGAATGAAAGTTGGACTGAGCCTTGGGATGAGCAGCCTCAAGGGGAACAAGAAGCTGCCTCTTCCTCAGAGCCGGCGGCCCTGGCTGCTCAATCTGCGGTTCCAGATGGCATGCTGCAAGCTCCTGCCCGGTGGGAGCCAACCCAAGCTACGGTGGCGGCAAAGGAAAAGGAAAGTCGAAAGGCTTTGGCGGTCCCTCTGGATGGAAGGGCAAAGCGCGGAAGGGCTTCGGCAAGTCCAAAGGCAAAGGCAAGGGCAAATGGACCCAAAAGGGCAAGAAAGGCCGAGGCTACTACGGGTACACCGTGGAGAAGACCCTTGTAGGCAGCTTCGGCGAGTCCAAGATGTCGTCGACTCCTCCGAGAACAAAAGTGGTACACTTCAAGTTGGACCACGACGACTCGCCGGTCTTGCCCCTTGGAAGCCGCCCTCGCGCTGAGGCCGAAAGACGACATCAACGGCACACCGGAGCAGACGTTAGGAGAGGTCTCTCTCCCACTCAAGATGGCCGAGCTGAACAGCACCTACTCAGCAGAGGTGATAGGAGGCGAGGGCTCACTATGTCCCGCACTAATGAGCAACCCGGCACTTCGCGCAGTCTTCGGCCATACTCACCAACCACTTTGAGAACGGTGACGGCGTGTTGGTGATTCGCAATGGCAAGGAGAAATGGAAGTACTTGCGCGTGCTGCGCACAGATTCGGGCCACTACTTGCTCCCCGTTGATGAACAGGCTCCTCTGCCCATCGACGCCCGCAAGAACGTGGAACAGATGCTTTTCACATGGTCAGAGGAGATACAAGAACGCTGGAGCGACTTTCGCCACTGTTTTCTGCAACGTCGGGAACATGAGCGGAGTTGTTCCAATGGACATGAAGAGATGCAGGCTCCAGTCCAAAGACTTTCTCCACTACCACAGAGGCCAAGCGAGATGAAGCAAGAGATGCAGACTCCAGTTCAAATACTTTCTCCACTACCACAGAGGTTGAACGAGATGAAGCGAGAGATGCAGACTCCAGTCCAGAGACTTTTCCCACTACCACAGAGGTCATGACAGATGAAGCGAGAGATGCTGGCTCCAGTTCAGAGACTTTCTCCACTACCACAGAGGTCCATGTTTTTAAAGATGTGTCGTCAGCATCGGGGTCCACTAAGTCCATGTCGTCAGCATCGGGGTCACCTGTCAGCAAGCCGTTTCTCGATGGTCCTGATGTGAGAACTACGAGAACAGAGGACTTTTGGACCCTGAACAGCGAGTACCTGACTCGACGCCACAAAGTAGCTCGCAGGATCCTCTTTACTCCGAACTGTGCCATCGACTGCCCCATCGAACGCTCCCAGATCCAAGGAAGGAGAGTCACGGAGATCCACTACGTGCCTAGGAATGCCGCGGGCAGGGTACTGGAAGACAACTGGATCACGGCTACAGCTCCCAACTACGACCTCGGCAGCTTGTGGACAGGGACTACTCGGTTTCGGCTCCAACCACCTCCTCTACCACCACGACCGTCGGCGGCAATGGCTACGGATGTTCATGGCGATGGTTTGGAACCCGACCTGTTCCCAAGCTACAGTGGCGATGAGTTTCCAGATCACTGGTCAGAAGACCGAAGAGAACGAGCTCGCCACTACTACCGCGCGATCCCCGAGGAGTTCTACACGACGTCTGGCCGCCGCCCGATCACTCCCAAGAATGTTTCAGCATGGGTGAAGAAGGCGGCTGGCAAGAGCCTTCGGTTTCAGTTTTGGGAGTTGTGCTCTGGATCCGGCCGACTTTCCTTGTGCTTGCTGATGGCTCAGTTCATGGTTGGTTTTCCGGTGGACTACAGATACTCCTGGGACATTGGATACGCTCCCCACCAGGCCTTGCTTCAACAGGTGCATCGCCAGTTCTCTCCCGACCATTTGTTTGCCTCTCCGAGCTGCACACCATGGTCGGTGGCTTCGGCAAGCAAGGACAAGGCCAGGCGAGATGAGGAGCGGCGGTCGGAACTTCCTACTCTTGAGTTACTCCATGATATGTCGCTTAGCCAGCGCAACCAGGACAGGGACTTTACCTTGGAGCAGCCTCACTCTTCGGCGATGCTGCGAGAAAGCCCCATTGTGAAGCTGCTGAACCACTCCGGGGTACGGATACAGCGCATGGATCAATGTATGCTGGGAGCGACGGATGAACTTCAGCGTCCAGTCCGGAAGGCCACGGCCTTCCTGAGCAACCGGCGCGCTGGCGTCGCACCATCAAGCGATGCAATGGCCACAAAGGGTCCCCACGGCGAGCTTCAGGGCCGGTTCAAGGGATGCTGCAGGACAGCTCTGGCAGCAGTGTATCCAAAGCGGATGACACAGCTGATTTCCCAGGATTTGTGGGCCATCCTTCGTGCGGACAAGGCCTCTACGTGTCCTACCTGGCCGAGGACACTCTTTTGGGCGCGCGGCATCTACTACACTTGTGAACGATGTCAACTTGGACGGGCTGCTCCTGCAGGCTGTGAACACACTATGGTGCCAGGGGAATGTCGCTATGGCCAGCCTTCGTTAAGGCAGGCAAGAGCTCGACGTGAAGCACCACCAGCGACACCAACGACTACTACTACGCCCGCTCCGAGCTCTGCTGCGGCTGGGGCACCAGAACGTGCCTCTGGCTCCAACGAGCCGGCCCCGGCTCGCATGGCTTGATCAGACTTGGAGGATATCACGGGGCCCTTCAAGTTTCTTGCTCGTAGCGGCGACTACTCTCGAGTGTCCCTGGAGGTGCACTCTTCTTTGACGATTCGCCCGGAGCCCCAACTCTACCTCAAGGCCGCCATGATGCAGCTGATTGAGTCGTGCCTCGAGATCTTCCAGGCCACGACTTCACGGGACTACGATCACTGGTTGTCGGATCCAGTGCTCCTGCGCGTCTTCCAGGACGTGTTCCACGAGATCATGAGCGTCCTGGGCGTCTTGGTTTCGTTGAGGCCCTGGCATCGCAAGGTTCCTGATCCTTACTTGAGTTCGGCCTGCGCTCCGATGCGATTGTTGATCAGTGGAGAAATTCGTTCTTGGAAGATTCACGGCTTGGAAGATATGCGGGTGCTCTCCCATCATCAACTTCATGCTCCAGTAGAGGAAGCGGATTGGCACGTGCACCTCTTTGGCTTCTGTCAGGATGATCCAGATGTGGATCGCGACGTGCTGGGCTCATCCTCTGCGTCTGCACGTCCGGCTGCGGTTCCGGTCGAAAGAGAAAATGATGGGAGGAATGCCCCTTCTTTGCGACCTCAACATCCACCTGTTCGACCCGCGTAAGCACCTCCTCAACCACCAGCAGCCGATCCTTCTCCAGAAGAAGAAGGCCAAGGAGAAGAAGAGTTTGATGCGACTAGACCGGAAGCTGACGAGGAGCCGAAAATCCTTAAGCCCCTCTTTGACTTCAAGAAGGTTTACAAGCGGCTCCAGAGTGAGATCGTCCAAACAGATCCGGTGACGGCCAAACGTCTTCTCTTGGGGCTTCATGAGAGGTTCTATCACTGCCCCATCACCGACTTCGAGAACATGTTGTTGCGGGCCGGGCTTTCCTCCGACATCTTACCACTTGCCGAGGAAGCCGTCATGATCTGCTCCATCTGCCGGAAGTACGTGAGGCTTCCCGACAGACCACAGATCAAGATTGGGTCAGCGGCCTCGTCCTTCAACCACCGGGTGCAGATCGACCTCTTCATGCACAAGGACACCTGGATTCTCCTGAATGTGGACGAGGCCACCCGATACAAGACAGCCACGGCAGTCAAGTCCCGGGAACACCAGGAGTTGCTCAACAGCATGTTTCTTTCATGGTTTTCCATCTTTGGGCCACCGGCACAGTTGGTGATGGACCAGGAGACCAGCCTCATGGGTCACGAGGCCGGCCGGGAACTGGAAAGGTTCAATGTGGAACGGGTGCCGAAAGGCACGACAGCAGGACCGGCAGGCCACCAACACACTGGGGCGGGCCTTGTTGAGCGTCATGTGGGCCTGATGGAAATCACCATGATGAAGCTTGAAGCTGAGCTGGACCGGCAGGGAATCGCGATCACCATCGGCGACCTTGCCAAGGAAGCGGCTATGGCTCACAACATCAGCCTCAACTACGGCGGCGCGACTCCCAGCATGTGTGTGTTTGGAGTGATCCCTCGGCCCTTCTACCAGGACGACAGCACGGGAATCTCCACAGCGGTCGGCGCCTTGCAGACCGACGTTGCACCGCTTGAGAAGGTGATCCGCGTCCGACAGATGGCTCTGTCGATGGTTCAACGAGCCGTGGCCAAGGACCGGATAGCGAGGGCGAACAGAACGCGCACGCGTCAGCTCAAGATTAGCGAGCTGGGCCCGGAGTCACCCGCGTGGACTTTCACAGGGAGACTCAAGGAGACGTGGGATGGCGTGGACCAGCGGAATTACTGAAGATCAACAAGGACGAAGGCGCGGCCATCCTCTCCTACCAAGGACGCCCGTATTTGGTCTCGCTCCGCCACATCCGGCCGCACCAGGCAGGAGTGTTCGTATTTCTCAACAAGGAACAAGTTGGCGACCTGATGGAGCTCAAGCACTTGACGGAGAAGCTCTCGCCTTACAAGATTGCCACCATCGGCTGGGTTCCAGAGAAGAAAGGTGAACTTGTGACATGGAGGCGAGCGTCAACCAGTTCCCTCGCCTACTCGGAGGTCTGGCCCAAAATCATGAGATTAGCCTCCGGTCTTTCGAGACACAATGCCGGAGGAGCCATGATCGGCCAAGGTGTCCGTCAGATCCAGCCACCTATGGGATCTTGCGGAGTACTCCTCCTGTGGAGCCACGGCGACTCCGAGCACGCAAGCCACGAGCACAACAACGACAAGCCGATCGCGCTGAAGAAGGTGACCACTCAACCAGTGGACAAGATGTGCTTTGTGTGTGTCTAGTACTTCGTGAACATCGAGTATCGCCCCGAGAAGGCCATGAGAGTGGTTCCCTCCGAAGGAGCGACTGAAATTGAGGACGACGAAGACGTGAACCAGGCGGCGTCTCCCATGTCTACCGGAGCTCCTATGTCTACCTCCTCTGCTCCGGCCTCTCCAACGAGCTCCCATGGACGTCGGTGACACGACTGAGGACAGCTCTGGCAACAAACGCAAAGGACCTGAGACTCGAACTGTGGTCCTAGCGCCAGAGACTAAGAGAGGACGCCTGGGGCTCCTGCTGGATGTCATCAAGGGCGAGCAAGTGATCACCAAGGCCCAGCACAATCTTGTGAACCTCTATTGGGCGATGCACTGGACTCAGGCGGTCCCCACGGACTTTCCCATGGTCTGGTACGGCTGCGACAACAACGTCCAGCTGGCTCAGTGGGACATCTTCATGTCTCGCGCCCACGATGCCTCCTCCGTTCCGGAACACCAGAAGAAGCCATATGTGTTCACGTGGCCAGCGAAGCACTTCGAGGAACTCTATGCGGACCTCTCCAACGGCGAGATCTACAAAGTGGATGATGAGGCCGACAACATCACGGAGGACGAGTGCTACGACATCTGGCCACAAGTGGAAGAAGCTGATGCCGCGGAAATCAAGCAGTTCGTGGAGACCTCGAGCTTCCAAAAGATGCACGTGAACTCCCTTACTTCGGAGACTGTCATCATTGACAGCGTGTGGGTGCGAAAATGGAAGCGAGTGCCGGACGGCTCCAGGAAGGTCAAGTCTCGACTGTGCGCTCGAGGATGCTTTGACAAGCAGAAGGATCTCCTCACGACCCTCAAGCCCGTGTACGGCCTCTCTGATGCTCCACTGGCTTGGCAGCTGTGTCTTCACGGCCATTTCGAGTCACAAGGGGGCGTCCCGTCTCTTATGGATGAGAACTTGTTCTATTGGAGGGACAAGAACAGTGGACGCACCACCTCCCTGGTGACCACACACGTTGATGACTGCGGCACTGGTGGCAAGAAGGAATGGCTCGCACGTCAACTACAACTACTTCAGGAGAAGTTCGGAAAGGTGACTCGCCAGGTCCTTCCCTTCAACCACTGCGGAGTTCTGTATGAGAGGATTCCCAACGGCTTCAGAATGTCGCAGGACAGCTTTGCCTTGAAGCTGAAGCCGGCGGAGATCGCAAGCGCCCGAAAGGATGACGAGCTCCTTTCACCCAGCGAGGTGACTATGTTCCGGTCCATTCTGGGCGGCTTGCTTTGGGTTACGGCTACGTGGCTTGATCTGATTGCCGAAGTATGCGCATTGCAGGCACAGGTCACTCGTGCCAAAGTGGCACACCTACGACAGGCCAATGGCGTGGTCAAGCGGGCAAGACAGGAGGCTGGACAAGGTATGGGCCTCTACTTCCAAAAGCTGGTCAGCCCGCTACGACTGGCATGTGTGCATGACTCCTCAGCCGCCGGGAACGTGAGGAACTATGCCCAGGAAGGTATATTGGTCTTGTTGTGCGAGGACCGCATGGGCCAGTTCGACAGGGGCTACGAGCACGTCTTGGACGACAAGCAGTGCCAGGCTCTTGGCGGGAGATGCCACGTACTGTGGGCTCATGGGGCCAAGGCCAAGGGCTAAGGCCAAGCGGATCAGCTACTCTACGTCTCTCAGCTTTGGCAGCGGTCAGCAGACTGGAGGCTGGCACTTTGGTGTCAGTGAGACTCGCCGAGCTCCTTTACTCCCCAAGGCCTCCAACTCTTCAAAGCCTGATTGCACAACAAGAACGTGGCGTCGAAGGACTCCCCATCGACTCGTACACCGACTGCCGCGACTTCTTCGAGCTAGCCTCCGGCGACAAGAATGCTCCTCAGGACAAGAACCAGCGGCTCTATGTTCTGTCCTTTAGAGAGGCCAGAATGTCTGGAAGGGTCAGATGGATGTGCTTGACCCCTACGGAGTCGATGACGGCCGATGCCCTCACCAAGACGATGATTGCCGAGCCGATGATGAAGCTCCTCACCACGGGCACGGTGCAGTTTTACAACCAGGAGAAGCACAAGATGACGCTACGGGCGTTGCCTCGGATGGACTACATCGAGGGGCACCACTTCGACATGCACGACCACGAGCTCATCAAGATGATCACGAAACCCGCAGCCTCTGTCACGGCTTGCGTGGCCTTTGTGAAGCCAAGGTTTCTATGCTTGGCTATTTTGGCGACTACGGCTTCGGCTACCACGACTTCACCGCCGTCTACCTCTACGACCTCTGCCAGCTATGATGTCGGCTGGAAGTGGATGATCACGATGGTCGCGATCATCATTGCGGCTGAAAGGATACTGTGCGAAACAGCACGTTTGTGGTGGCGACGACTGCTACCATCTCAGAGCACCGCCACACCGGATGACCCGATGGATGTGGATGAGGCGAACTCAAGATGCCCAGGACTCTGAGAAGGAGACCTACGCGGACCTTCTGCGACAGCTCAAGGATGCCGAACAGTCTATGGCTGGTCTGGGCCAGCAGCTGATGATGGCTGAACACGAGGTGAGTCTCCGCAACAGCCGCATTGAACGACTGGAAGATGATCTAAGGGCTCGCGACAGGGAGATACGCCAGCTACGCGAGGACTGCGACCGTCTACAACGACCACTACCGCGAGCCCACCTTCCGACTGAGCTCTTTGCTACTGTCGCGACCGGCCGAACTTTTCACAGAGACCGCAACTGCGGTCACATTCGCACTGTGCGTGTGCGCCAGATGAGGGCTTGCACAGACTGCACAGGTTGACCGTTTTTTTCGGGAACAAGAGCGGAGTGAATTCTTGAATGTGCAGATGTACAGTACCCCTAAAGCTCCGATGCCATGTTCCACATATGTAAGCATTGCAGACCAGACGCAAATCACGCAGCGCGCTTGGGTCGAAGAAACAGCTGTTATCCAAGTTGCTGCCACTGAATAGCGGCAAGGACTTCATATGTGACGTACGGTGCAATACTATAAGTCCGCTCGTAATGTATGCTACAATACTTAGTGACAACATGCCAGGAACATAGTGTGGTGTAGATGCTGCATGATGCCTACGCCGCAATGCACTGTTCGACATGCATAAAGGGAGCTTGGCAAAAAACTGCCATGCATCCCATGAACCACTGAGTTTTGGAACAGCCTCAATCCAGAAATCCCCCTACCAGAGCTCCGATGACTCCCACTACACCCCAAACCCTAAACCCTCAGCCCTAAACCCTAAACCCTACCTAGACCCTAAGCCCTAAAGGCCCAAGAGCCCGACCCCCCCAAAAAACCCTGAACCTTCAAACCTAATGTAGGGGCCGTAATAATTGCCAGTTCTATTTTGGGGACTCCTTATTTGAAGTATAGTATAATGGGCCCCAAAACCCTATTCTAATTATGAAGGCCCCGAAACTCTACACTAAACCCTAAACACATATACTTGTAGTAGCCCTTTTAGAACCCTGTAAAGGAGGCCCAAAACCCTATTGTAATTATTAAGGCCCCTGTATTCAACCCACTCAAATCAACCCGAAGCTCCAGGTGAACGGCGAGCGGGGTCGCGACCCACACATCGGCCACCTCGTCTAGAAAAGCGCGGGTTTAGGGTTTGGGGTTTAGGGTTTAGGGTTTGGGGTTTAGGGTTTAAGCTAGGGTTTAGGGTTTAGGGTTTAAGCTAGGGTTTAGGGTTTAGGGCTTAGGGTAGGCGGGTCAGCTTCCTCTTTCGTCTGAAATCAGTTTTGTGCTAAGGGTGAATCTGAAGGATCCGCATGTACTTCAAGGTAAATCTTACCTTTCCCTAAGGGTCCAAAGGACCTGATAAATCATGTACTTGGATTACGGATAGTAGTTTTGTAGGTTAGTCTTCAGAATTCAGAAGAGTATATGATTCCTAGGTACTTTTGTAGGTAGGTATCCAGAAGAGTATTTGGTTATTAGGTACTATTGTGTAGGTTAGTATCCAGAAGAGTATACGATTATTAGGTGCTGGGACCCCTGGGGTTTGCTCTTGTGTGTTTAGCTGTGAGGTGTCCATGGCATCACCAGCGCGGGGAGTGAGCTTTTCGAGATCGTGGCCGACGGCGACATCGTCCGCTTACAGGCCTGGGATCAAACCTGGGGGGTTTCTGTGGGGTGCTGCAATATTGGGGAACAAAATAATTACCAATACCGTCTTTTGGGGTTATTTAATTAGTATAGTTATAGTGCAATATACCCCAAAACCCGATTCTATTTATTAAGGCCCCCATATTACCTAGAGAGACCAAGGGGCCCCTCATTGAGGAAGGATGAGTTGAATCATATTGTTAAAGCTTTACAATTTCAGGCATAATTGCCACCCAAAATCCAGGAAGCCACCCTTCAATCAAAATACTAAGCCCTCTATGACTCAAGATATATTGCTTTCACGATTGGGTTTGTAAAGGCTTATCGCAGGGGCTTTTCAAGGTTTCCAGGGTTTTGCACGGAGACCTCAATGCTTCTAAAGCTGCACCAAACCGTTACAGACACCTCATAACATCTTTCGACGCCCTGATAAATCCTGTAAGAGGGTAAATCGGAACCCGGCGAAGGTGGACTTTTGTCGGAAGAACGATGCTGCCTGGCAGCACTTCCCGGTTGCAACAAGAATCCATGGGTCTAGGGCTCAGGGTCTAGGGCTAGGGTTTGGTATGGCGTGTGGGGATAAATCTGGGGCGGACGGGGAAGGGGGGGGGGTGGCTTAGGGATTCAGTTTTTCAGTGCTTGGGATTCGTAGCTTCACAGAAACGTGGAACTGCATAGGTCCTACGAGCGCTCTTGATGTGGCCTTTGGTTCTCTCCATCGCAAAAATCAGCGGGTATATGCTCTCAAATCCGAAAACCTTAGACCCTAAACCCTAAATTGCATTGGATCCCCTGCCGGGTAGATCGAGCCTTCTCAGCTTTCAGACAGCTGTTAGACAGACAGTTGAGGATGGAAAACGCAGGCCACCACAGCGTGCCTTTCTGTACCTTGAACGGCCAAAACCTGCATTGTGTAGCGTCCCTATAAATTCTGAACTGGGTTTCTAATAAGAACCTTCAGAAAAGTAGGTTATGGTAGTGTAAGGTAATGTTGAGGGTTTGAGGTTCAGGACTTCCTGAAACTACCGAAACGCTAGAACCTCCAGCAACCCTAAACCTAAATTTCCTAGACCCTGAAAGCCCTAAGCCAAACCCAGCAGCCTAGTCTACCGGTGGGATGTTGTAGATGAGCGGCCTGCTGTTTACTGGCTCGTGCCATGTTGCCGGCCACCGCTAGCACCCTTGTTGCAGGTCCAAATGGGCAGGGCGATCATGCGAGCGAAAGTCCATTGCCTCTAACAGACCCTAAACCTTAAACCCTAAATCCTAAACCCCTAAACCCTAAACCCTAAACCCTAAACCCTAAACCCTAAACCCTATACCCTATAAACCCTAAACTAAACGGAGCCCCTCAGATCAAGCAAGGCTCCAGCTCTTCGCTTCGTGAGGGGCGATGGAGCTGAGTCCATCAGCCCTGGGCAGAGTGGCATGGAAGGCTTCGGGCCTGGGGTTTAGGGTTTCGGGGTTTTTGGGGCTTAGGGTTTCGGGGTCAGGTTTGTTTTTGTTAATGGTTTTGGGGTGTTGGGGTTTCGGGTTTACGGGCTTCGGGCTCAGGGTTTGGGCTTCGGGCTTAATGTCGGGGCCTTAATAATTAGAATAGGGTTTTGGGGGTTCCTTGTTATAATTGTAGCATAATACACACCTAAACCTTATTCTAATTATTAAGGCTCGTACATTACGGTTGAGGCTTTAGGGTTTAGGGTTTAGGGTCAAGGGTTTAGGGTTTAGGGTTTTGGGGTTTGGGGTTAGGGATTAGGGCTCAGGGGTTTAAGGGTTTAGGGTTGCGGGGTTTTGGGGTTTAGGGTTTGGGGGCAAAGGGTTCAGGGTTTCGGGGTTTTGGGGTTTGGGGTTTTGGGGTTTTGGGGTTTAGGGTTTCAGGGCAAAGGGTTTAGGGTTTTAGGGTTTAGGGGTTTAGGGGTTTAGGGGTTTAGGGTTTCGGGGTTTAGGGTTTAGGGTTTTAGGGTTTAGGGTTTGGGGGTTTTGGGTATTAGGGTTTGGGGGCAACGGGTTTAGGGTTTAGGGGGCAAAGGGTTTAAGGGTTTGGGGTTTCAGGGTTTAGAGGTTTAGGGTTTGTTTGGGGGCAAAGGGTTTAGAGTTTAGGGTTTAGGGGTCAATGGTTTAGGGTTTAAGGGTTTAGGGTTTCGAGGTTTTGGGGTTTTGTGGTTTTGTGGTTTAGGGGCAAAGGGTTTAGGGGTTAAGGGTTTAGGGTTTCGGGGTGTTGGGGTAAAGGGTTCAGAGTTCAGGTATTTAGGGTTTAGGGTTGAGGGGTTAAGGGTTCAGGGTTCAGGTTTAGAAGTTGAGTGGTTTAAGGCTGTAGGGTTTTATGGTTTAGGGCTGGCTTCGAAAGTCGTTACAAGTTTTTTTTTTCGGGAGGGTTCGATAAGGGCTTCATAAGGGTTGTAAGAGGGTGTTACGAGGGTTCCACTATGTTGGGGTTTCGGCTTGCAGGGTTTACAGAGGGAGGTTGGGATTTGGGATCTTTCGCTGAGCTTCCTCCGAAGGCGTGTCCGAGCAAGTCCACTTCCCCGCGCCGCCGTGGCTTGGGCTTCGTAGTCATCGTCATCACTGTCCCGATTTGGGAGTTTCCGAAAATAAGGGGTACCTTATTTGGGGGTCCTTATAATAAGGATCCTACTATTTAGGGTACTATATTGGGGCATTCAATTGGCTTCAAGTTGCTGTTTCGCCCACTCGCCGAAAGGTAAGTTTCGTCCGTGGTAGTGTGCAGCGGCAGTTTGCTTCTTCGTTTCAAGATCAGCAGGCTCATGAATCAGTTATGCTGTTGTGAACATTCCTGTTGGTGTTGGTTTTCTTACAGCTGTAGGCCTTGGTGACGGACGCGACCTTTACTTAATGCTTCCGATAAACGGAGGGGCCCGGGAAGCCAATTTGCCCGGGAAGCTACCATTGTTGTTCTGGTTGTTCTGATAGTGGCTGAGAGCAGAGAGTGCCCTAGGACGACGCTGGCGGGCCATCGCCTGTTCAACTCCGAGGAAGGACAGCGCCTTGCTGGCAAGCTCCTACTATGGGGGTTCGACTGGTTAGCAGCAGTATCCCCCTAACAGTCCCTACATAAACATAGCAACAATTACAGACCTCCAAGCCCTGCTCTCATAATTGCCTTCCTATATGGGGTTTCCGAAAATCGGGACCCTAAAATAGTACCCTAAATAGTAGGATCCTTATTATAAGGACTCCAAATAAGGTACCCTTACTTTCGGAACCCCCCCCCCCCCCATATTTCACCCCTGAACCTCTGACTCCCACACTCAAAGTCACCAAAAGCATCAGCCCCAAACCCGAAGCCCTCAACACCGAACTGAACCGAAGCGCCCAAAGCTCTTAACCCCTAACCCCTAAACCCCTAAACCATGAAACCTAGGCCCTAAACCCTAAACCCTAAACCCTAAACCCCTAAACCCTAAACCCTAAACACCTAAACCCCTAAAACGCTAAACCCCTAAACTCCAAACCCTAAACCCTATAACCCGAGATCCAGCAGTGCTTGGTCTGAGGCACACAGAGAAGCCCCAGTCCACACAATCCTTACGTGGAACTCACGGGTTCAGGGTTTAGGGCATTAGGGTTCGGGGTGTAGAGATCTTTTCTTCACTGAGGTGGAAGGCGGGCGATGAGATCCGACCTCCCACCCTTCCCACCGGCTGGAGCTACGAGTTTCCGCTTCCTGGCGCATCAAGCTTGTATGGCCTACGTAGCAGGGTTTGCGAAAAGTTCTTTATCTGGTTGCGATGTTTAATACCAGGAGTACGATGACAGATTCCAGTACGCGTTCTACAAGTGGTTGCATAATAGGTTCAAGGGTTTTATTGAAGACACAGGAATGGGAAGAAGGCTTTAGGGATGAGAGGTATTTGAGTCACATTCCCTTGTAGACCTTACATACCTAGTATAGCATATCCATGTATAGCCCCAAAGCCCTTAAACCCCAAACCCGAAGCCCGAAACCCCAAGACCCCCAAACCCCTACTCTGATTATGAAGGCACGGGTAGGAGACTTCTTGTTGAGTTTTATCAAGTCAGGGGTTTCTCTAAAGCCGTAAGAAGCCCCAAGCCCTGAACCCTGAACCCTACAATGCAAGCTCTAAACCCACATGTAAGTCCAAAAACGCGCTTCACGTGTTTTTTGTCACAACCCGGGTGTTTAATGGGTGATATATGCTTCTCATATTGTTAAAGGAAGAACGATTTGCACTTGTCACCCATTAACATTCCAAAATTTGACAGCCATGCATATCACGCTTAAACAAGCATTATCTCTCTAAACCATTCAACCTGAACCTCAGCCCTAAAGCACATCCTAAACCCCGACACGCAAGTTCGATGCCCTAAACCATAAACCATAAACCATGAACGTTAAGCATTAAAACCCCTCAACCCAAAACCCTAAAAGCCCAACCCCGCAACCTAAAACGTAAGCCTCCATGCTAGAAACCCTAAACCCCAAACCCCAAAAGCCCAAAAACCCCAAAAACCCAAGACCCTAAACCCAAGCCACTGCACTTAAAAAGGAAAACCCTAACCCCGAACCCTAGGCCGGCCCGGGGATTCTTGCAAGCGAGAGCGGCTGTGACTGAGGTCCTTCGCAACGGGTCTCTGCACGGCGAAAGTGCTGCGAGTCCAGCGGAAAGTGCCCTTTCTTCAAGGGTGCCAAGAGTTTAGGGTTTAGGGTTTAGGGTTTAGGGTTTAGGGTTTAGGGTTTAGGGTGTCCTTGTGTCCTTGTTTGCTTGGTTTCGGGTCAACTGGCTCCTTGTTGGCTAGAATTTACACTTTCGTTATAATGAAAACCCAATAAGGATTAAACGTGATCATTTTTCATATAGCCCCAACAGGGAACCAGTTAAGGCTTCAGGGGTTTATGGTTCAGACCCTAAACCCTAAACCCTAAACCCTAAACCCTAAACCCTAAACCCTAAACCCTAAACCCATCAACAGCAGTGCAGAAAGCGCTCCAAAAATCCGAGGTTCCCAGCAAGGCGGCCTGTGAGAAGCACCTCGGCTGGGAAGCGTTAGGGCTTTGGGTTTAGGGTTTAG